TATAACTTTTTTATTTTTTACAGCTGTTTTTATTTTTTTATTTACAGCTGTCGGTAATAGCAACTAAAACATTCGTAGGCGTGTTTTGATTGCGTTTGTAATCTTTGTAATCTCTGCGGTAAGTAATCTTTGTTTAGATTGCACGCGAAATAGCCGACCGATTATCGTTTATGCGCGTGCAGAACTTCGAAATTAAGGGACGACAAACGGCAACATTGTTGGGTATGCGAGTTGACTAGTGGAACTTAGAAGCTAGTGATTTTTCATGACCAAATTTACTGTAATGCAAATTAACCAAAGTTTCCTCATTTATGATATTTATTAGGTACTCAAAAATATTACCGCGTTTCTATATGTATTATTTAATGTTTTATAATTTTCAAACAATATTGACTGGACGTGTAGGCAATTAAAATGAATCCCATAAACTCGAATTTGAACCAAATCTTAATAAAATATACTAACCGAATTACTAAATCAGTAATAAACATATTGTAATTTTTTTAAATCTTATCTATAAAAGACTGCTTTTGTTAACTAATTTCAACTAACTTATTGTGCAAAATGGCCTAGTAATATAATAAGTAATTCACATTCATTTCATATAGCTCATCTTGTTTAACGTCATCATTCATATTTAATGCTAGGTAGAAAACATATAAAAGCTGTTCAGTGGTTCTAATACTTGCAAATTATTGTCCCCGTGATGGTATGTATATTCATAATATAATTTATTTTGACTATCAGTTGTTTTGAAGTCAGTAAAATGAAAAACACATCAGGATTAGTCATTTTATCATATTCTGCACAAAAATTAATCAAAATCTAGATCAACAGCTGTCTAATACAGAATAAGATATTTCTTTCAATATAGATTTAGAGAATATAATTCTGTGCCCTAGAAGCAAACTATGCTAAGTCCAAAACTGCCATATTTGAGTTATATACGTGTGTAAGTTACTTAACTGTTTATGCTCTTTCTCGTTTTACGTTATCTGTAGAAATAAATAAAATACTCTTTTTAAAATCAAATTAAGTCCAATGCCGGCCCTGAGCTAAACAAAACTTTAATTTTTTCTCTCTCGAAACTATGTTTGGTGACTTAACATAGTTTGCTTCTGGGATACAGAATTTAAAACACTATATGAAGTCCAAATTAAAGGAAAACTCTCTAAATACGAAGAATTTTTAAGTTTGTTACTTCTTTCATTATAAATAAGATATACAATGATCGGATACTTCGAGGCTCCGTTCACCAGAGGGCGAGGGTATTTTCGCTACAATTTCGTATTTTTTGAAATAGTTGGATTTCTCACTCTCTAATTGGTCGATTACTAGTAAAAGTTTCATTATTTGGAATGATTTTGACCTACGTAGTACGTACTTAAACGGATTAGTTTTTTTTCCACTTAAAAAAATTAGGTTAACTGAGAGAAAAAGAGCATATAAAAACCAAAAGAGTCAAAAAGTGTGTAGAGAAAGTGTTCAGAGCTGAATATTTAAATAACTTATGTCAAAATTCCCAACATTCAATTTACTACCAAAAATTCTACTGCATGATTAAGAAAATAATGACCATTAAACAATCAAATTTTGAACGAAAAAAAGATCGCCTTCGCGCACAAACTATTGTCAGCTGTTGTTAATCTAACCTTAAAATCTCAAAGTAAAAGAGAAATTCAAAAATTCCTGGACTAATATTGATTTTCCAGACATATAGCCACGTGGAACTGTGGAACTACCCAAAATAATAGGACTGGAAAGTGCTGTAATCTACTGTAGCAAAAATTAGAACAAAATGTTTTCAATAGAGTAAATCTATTATGCTTTTAGATCGTATTTATCGTCTTTTAATATCAATTATATTCTGTTTTAGGGCTAACACAATTGCCATCGACATAGAATCAGTGATTTAAAAGTTAGATGACTGCATAGAACATCAAAAGATTGCTAAAAGCAGTAAGCTAGAAGACAAATCAACCAGTCAACGATGTCTTAAGAGAGGATGGGTTACATGATACATAACGATAGATACCTCATTCCTTCAATTGATCATTGACGAAAATATTAAGGGAAAGAGAGGAATCGGCAGAAAGAGGATGCCATTGCTTTGCAACATCGGGCAGCGAATAGGACTGAGGGCAAGGTCTACTCCATGCAATATGAAATAAAGAAGAGTGGACTAATGTGATCGCAAACATCCGTTAGCGGATTTGCAGTAGAAGTAGGAGTCTTAAAAGACTGACTGCTAGTTGTATGTATCCAAGGAAGCTTACGACAAGTAAAGAAAACATTACATAGTGATTTGACAGTGGTTATCAGTGCAAAACATAGTAATATGTAATTGTTTTGTAGTGATTGATTTGTTAGAACCTTTGAATAAGAAGACTAAGGAAGGAGCATATCAAAAATCTTAGGTACACCGCGATGGGCCTCAAATATGGCCGACTTAAATTCCGGTTTATCAGTGTCGTTCTAATTTTATTTAAAAAATGTAAAACTATGATGTAGGGTAGACGTGGGGTAGACTCAATAATTTGTTGTTTTTTTTTACGTTGTGAATAAATGTTGGTAGTTATTAAAATTGTTATAAAAATATATAATTCTAATAAAAATAGATAAGTTATAATAAGTATTTATTAACACAAACATCCGATACGCTACTGAAGCAGGTAAGTCAAATTAACGTATCTAAATTCTTTGACATCTAATCTTTGACAAGTAATAAATAAAAGCTAAAATGCAAGAAAAATATATAATTTAGTTAATTTAAGTGAATTTCATAAATGATCGGTTTACTACACGTATGTATATTATATAGTCACTTACTAGCGAAAAGTTGTTCCATTATTTCACTCAATTTTTGCCGAGATCTACCGCACGCTACACAACCAACTATTTTAGAGTCTTTTTCGATAAATCGCGATAGTGTCACTGTTAATTTAAGTTCTGCCACAATTTCCATCTAGATTTACTACCTTTATACAACTATCAGTAGTAGAATAAATAATAAATAACATAAAATAAGCTCCGTAAAGACTGACAAATCCACAAAATTTCAAATCAAATTCAAATGTGTCAAATGAATCGTCAAACAGAACTGTCAAGGATCCCCACCCTAGAGAGCTTTTATGGTGGATTTTCCGCCCACCATGCATGGATAGCATTATGCTCCTTCCTTAGTCTTCTTATTCAAAGGTTAGAACAGAGGAAGCCTTATTTTTTATTATGATACATTAAAGAAGCAAGCTTTTGTTCTACAAAGATAGAAGGAACGCCTGATATACATAATTAATTAGGAAATAAATTATAAAACTACATAGTCGTATTAAAGATATTTTTTTTGTAAGTTTAAACTCATCTTAAATCCAATAGCAGATACTAATATATCTAAGTTTCACCAAATTTTACTTGGTTTAAACGCATAAATGCCGTATGACCGAAAAAAGAACGGCGTCCAGTTAGTTTGGAAATGACGATCGATGACATTTCCCATAGTTTTACTATATAATTAATGTATCACCCACATTAATATGTATCAGAATAGAAAATAAATATTATCAATTGGCGGCTTATTCTTAATTATACACTTCAGAGTAAATCCTTATTAAAGTAATTATTAATAATTGAGTTTTAAAACATATTATAAATTCTTACACTGAAAAACCAACTTATGAGTTCATACACTCTAACAATCATTATGATCCTTAGTTCATACAAAAAATGCATAGAAAAAAGTACTTCCAGTTTATCCTCAATTGTCCAGTCATTCTTTCTTTCCCTATAAACCTTATTGAACTAATATCAAAGTATCTATGTCCTCGATGTACAGTATGTCCTCGGATTGTCTTTACAACACGAAAAACCAAACCAAACCAAACCAAACAGCCCAAGCGATGGCTATGAAATTAAGACCGCTGTCATTTTCTATGTAAAAACAAAAATTATATGTAAATATAGTAAAAACTACTATTATATATTTTCTTTTGATTATACGGTAGTTATTATTAATTTTGATTAACAACATATTTTCTTAAAATTTCTTCCATATTTTCATGTTTTCTTTTAATTTTCTCTAAAACGGTATGGAAACAGGATTAACAATATTAGAACAAGCAACATTTTTTATGCAGAATGCATTTTCTTAAAATGTCAATAATAAAAACGTTTTTCCTCTTGTAAAGACAGTCTGGAGATGTACTGTAGGCAAATTTTCCAAATTGTTGACTTTATATAGATAAATATCGTCTTTTGCTCATGTTTATAATAAAAATACCACTCAAAATTAAGACAAAATTATTTTTTCTATTAACTATACATATAATTTTCCTGGTGTATAAAAGTTCTTAATTTTTTTTATGTTTCTAATACAGATCTATTATATTATTATAGGTATAAAATAATCTCCAATATTGAAAATCAATTCTGTAAAAATTGATTTTAATTTTATTGAAAATATTCTTTCTTGTTCCTCTGTTTGGAAATTTGCTCGAAACTATCTAATTTTATGTAAAAAAATAAAAATATCTCGACTGCTTGTTTACATATTTTTTTACATGGTAATGAAATTTGTGACCAACCGAGGTTAAAAACTCGAATTTAGAAAAGATAGTTAAATTAAAATATTCTTAAATCTTAAATTAAACTTAGGTCCGCCCATCTTCCTCTTATTTTAATTGAGGAGTAAAATTCTTGGCGATTTCCATTCTCCTTTAAGCTTCAAAAAATGACCGCATGGTGGCAGTAGCTCACAATACCCCTCGCTGTACGATTATTTAATATATGTATAAACAATGGTTACTTTTAGAATGATAGAAGATACTTAAGTCTCCTTGATTTTACTAACTAAAAATTAATCTGAGTACATATAATTTAATGTAATAATTTTGAAGTTTCAGTATATTCTGAAATCATCCATTTCTCAAAGACTGGTTAATTCAAGGGTACTTATTTTTTTGTGATTTTTAAAAATAATATTTAAAAAAAGTTTTAAAACTTACCATATCAACTGCTCCTCCACTAACTGAAACAAAAAGCAATCCATTTAGTACTACAATAAACATATCATATCAGTTTATACTCACTGTGTCCAGAATTTTCAGAGGAATAAGAAGGTGGTTGATCGTAAGCTTGTTCTTGTTGGTCCAAAAGACTATCTAGGTTATGGGCTTGCATAAAGAGATTATTTTCTTGCTGCCTTCTCCTTATATCATCCTGATTAGATACCATATCAGCCTGGGATCTTCTCATTAGCTCTTCTTGCCTCAACCTTTCCTCCTCCACCATTCTTTCCTTCATTTCCCATTCCTTTTTCTGCCTTTCCTTATCCAACTCTCTTGCCCTCAGCTGGTTTCTTAACATTTCAGTTTCATGCTCGTACTTGGCATATGCCATTTGAGCAACTAGTTTTTCTTTTTCAAGCTGAAGCTCCTTCTTTAATGCATCCTCCTTTTGTTGGTGATGTTCATAAAGAACTTTCCATTTCTGACCATATTCGTATTCAAAACTGTTGGGATGTGCTAGTCTTGGAGGTCTTTCCCGTTCACTCATAAATTCATGGTGTTTTTTGTTGATATTTTTATCTGAGTAGCCATCAATGTCTTCCACAAGTTCGTACCCTTCAACTATTACAGGCTGTAGAGAAGATGTAAGAAAATAGCAACCATCTTGACATTTTTTAATGGCAGTTGCTGCAGAAAACTTTTTGGCAAAATGAACCAATCCTTCTCCAGTGGGTTTCCCACGCTCATCAACTAAAACTTGGACCTTTTCAATTTCACCAAAAGGACTGAAGGCATAATGCACCAGCTCATTAGTTACTTGTGGAGTCAAATTCTTTAGTTTTATCGTTGCAATATTAGGAGCAAATCTAATTTTCAAATTTCTCCCTTTTAATAAGCTACCATCTAGCTCTTGCTTAGCTTTCTCTGCATTACTGTGAAAATCTAGTTTGATAAAGCCAAAGTTTTTGTCTTTATTGACGAATAGTTCAGCAGTTTCTCCATAACTCTTAAACAGTTCAGTTAGGTCCTCCTCGGTCACTTCTGATCCAATATTTCCAACATAAAGTCGATTTCTACCATTAAATTTCTTTTCAGTGGTGTCAACAGGGGGTAATTCATAAGTTGGACCTTGCAGTGTGTTAATCTTCTCTAGAATCCTATCCATAGGTCTCCTGTTTCCATCACCATCGACCCCTTGGTCCCCATCACCTCCTCGACCTCCACGAAACCCGCCTCTACCGCCACCTCTTCTCATACCTCCCCCTCCCTGATTTCCCTCTGATCTGTCGAAACCTCTCTAAAAGAAACACATCTTTATATGGAATTCAAATACAAAAGAGAAATAAAACAAAAACTTTGACCAAACTACCTTACTTCTAGTATTCTTTCAACTGGAAGGGTCAATGACTGGTATATAGTGCAGTATAATAAAAATACAGATACCATATAAAATGCAACGACATCAAAATATACATAAGAAAACGTGTTTAATAAATATAAGAAAACCTAGTAAGAAACTTACATGTCCTCCTGGGCCTCCACCTCTATTCGAGTTGTATCGGCCTCCCCCACGACCTCCACGTCGATTTCCACCGAAATTTCTATTCTCTTGGCCTCCTCCACCTCCGCCATTACCTTCTGCTACAGTTTCTATTTTAAGAGATTTCGTTTCTTCTGCTTCTGCCATTTTTTGATCTTACTCAGAAATAAAAATTATTTGTTCTTTTTATGAAACGTATAAACAACCCAGCACAAAATGGCGGTGACAACGAAAAGCACAACGAAAAGGAAGCGGAAAGCAGAGGGTGCGGAGGTGACAACTGACGGCAAGCGTCCAAGAATATCGATTTTTTGACGTAGAGATGGGCACGTTAGATTTTTAAGTTAAGGAAAACATATCGATGCTACTTTTTTCCAATCATAAGTAATAATACACATAAGTAATAACAGAGACAACATAAAGTATATCTTTACAATTTTTTTGAATCTGTGTTATTTTCTTGAAAACCCACCGGCAATTTTCAATAAATAATACAAAATGTTCTATTTTTCCTTACTAATTTTTGATCATATATAATTTTGCTTTGTAATTTGTAATTTTGTAATGAAGTTGACATATATCATTAGATCCTTTTATAGATTCTTTATTGGTTTTCCCCACAGGCTTTCCCCAATAAAAAACAAAATCTCGAATTTAACTCAAAATTGTTATGAAAAGCTGTTCTTTAACATTTAACAAAATAGATTTATGAAGAGCGTCTTGTATATTTTTGACCCGGAAAAGTAGATTGCCAAACATTTATACCGTATGATCGAATAAAAACGGCGTCAGCTATGGCTATGAAATGAAGATCGCTGTCATTTTATATGTAAATTTATATAGGAAATGCCATCGATCGTCATTTCCAAGCCAACTGGACGCCGTTTTTATTCGATCATACGGTATAATCCATCAGTTACTCTTATTCCTTTACCTTATTTGTTAATTTGTGAAACTTGAATATTAACAAAATTTGCCACGTCCATTGATGGATATAATTTGTGCGTAGTCTCTCTTTATATTGTTCAATATAGATATTTTGTTGGGTATTTCTTTAATTCTTATTTGTAACTTCTGACATGTTTTTTAATTTTAATTGTCTATTCTCTACAGTTAAATGTTATTTTCATTTTTTCAAAGGGTATGCGCGGTTAACGATTCATTTGTTTAGATAAAAGTATTGTGTAAATAAAATTCAGTTTCATTCAATTACAGTATTTTTTTACCTGTCTATCAATAGTTTATTTTCTGGGAAATTTTTTGATACGTTTTAATCCGGCCCTGACTCGTTACTCGGCACTTGCTCGGCACCCATAATGGCGTCGTCAAGGTCAAATTTTATAGAAATTTTAAATCATATAAGGGATCTAGGCAAAAGTTAGACCAAGCCTCATGTTAGCCTGCCGCATGCCGGTTGATTTCTATGCCGTGGGCATACCATGTTTTCTTGTACTATGTCATTTTAAATAATTTGAAAACCATTTATTTTTTAAACAATATTAACAAATCTAATAAGCTTTACTATTTTCTATGTGTTGTGTAGTAATTCAAATTCTAAAAATCATACATATTTACAAATCTTTTACAGAGCATAGGAGTGATTGAGGGGTAACATTGTTAAATATTCCCTCAATGTCTAAGCATATCCCCACCACAATTTCCGTGCCATCAAAGGTACTCTTAATTTCCCCTACCAAATTGTTGAGGACTAGATCTGTTGATTTTTACTGTTGATAAGCATATTGCTGGACATTCAGATGATTAGACGTGAGGGTCCCCCCCCCCCTATAATATGTCCATCCAATATTTTCTCTACGATTTTTAAAAAATCCAAAAATTGGAAATATGCAAAATCTTTGATTAAAAGAAAATAAATATGTAAAAGTGGGCAACGCTCTGCCAGTCAGGCTTAATCACACGACTAGTTTATTTATGAGTTCATTTGATATTAATACAAACTAGACGCTATATATGACATCCTCTATTTTATTTTGCGAAAAAATCACCAGCAGGTTTTTGGAGAAATTACAGGACCTAAGAGGCTACGGTAATCTATTTTTTTAATCCCAAAGATAAAAATAATAGCAACATAATATGGGGTGAATCAATCTGTAATAACGCAATATTAACTTCGTTTTTTTAAGTCTCACCTATTCTCAATAAAAATTAATGTATTTTTCTTACCCTCTACAGCATCAACATCAGATGCTGCTTTGAAGTATACCCCGCTGGCAAGCGAACCTTTTTAAGCGGCCCTCACACGATCAATAATATTGTCAATGTTTTTTATTGTCAATATTTTATCAATATTTGAAAGGTGACTTGACACGGTTAATACATATATCAATATTTAGTTTTGTGTCGATATTAAAGTTTTAATATCGTGCCAACAAATGAACCATAAGAAAAAAGCGTGTATTGCCATCATTTTGGCACATGTAAGTGAGAAAAAAGTTAAGAAAAGGTGTTGGATAAAAAAATGGATTTCAAAAAGAAAAAGGTTTGGTCACCTAAATCTTCTAGACTACGTTAAGAAACAGAAGCCTGATGATTATAAAAATTACTTCAGAATGAATGGCGAAATATATGATCTATTGCTTCATTTGGTCAGTCCTTATATTACCAAAGAAAACACGAATATGCGGGAAGCTATACCAGCAACTGAAAGATTAGCCGTCACACTTAGATTTTTGGCAACAGGAAGATCCTTTGAGGACTTAAAATTTTCAACAATAATTTCACCAACAACCATTAGTGAAATAGTTATGGAGACTTGTGAAGCCATAATTCGAGTTTTAAAGGACTACATCAAGGTTAGTAAGTTTAAAATACAATAATTTGTAACTTTTTATTAGGTATGTGCGTAGTAAGTAACATGTTCTGGCAGTACTAGATATTCTTCATGTTCTTGCTGTGTGAGTGGTGACTGCAGTGGTGTTGAAACATAATTTGTAGCATAAAATTTCCCACGGTCAATGGATGATGTCCAACTATCGGCTGATAGTGGTTGTGAACCAGTTGCTTCAGCCGCCACGTTAATTTTTACTGAGTGACGATTTAGATTTCCTAGCGCTGCTTCAAAAAAAAAAAATCATTGATTGCTTTTTCAGCAAATAACCTTTGTTGGGGTGCTAAAGCTTATAGTTTGTTTGCCCAGACTAGCAATCTGACTTTCCCCTACATACTTTTCGTCCTCCGAAAGGTATTTGCATGCGAGTGCCAACAACTGTTTGTTGTCTGGTGTTTTTGCCTGGGTTTTTGTTCTTTTTGATGTATGTAGATCTTCAGATGTAACCTGAAAAACAATAATATATTTTTTTACAGCTTTCAAGAACTCAAGATGAATGGAGAAATGTCGCATTAGAGTTTGGTAGAAAATGGCAGTTTTGGAATTGCATTGGCGCTATTGACGGAAAACCTCTGCGGAAAACACATTAATATTGTGAAACCAGCAAATTCCGGTTCTCGTTACTTTAATTATAAAGGATACTTTAGTATAGTGCTGATGGCTATAGTCAACGCTAATTACGAATTTATGATGGTAGACTGCGGAACAAACGGAAGAGTTTCGGATGGTGGAGCTATTCACAATACAACATTTTGGGAATTGTTTCAAAATAATTTGTTAGACATTCCAGAACCTTCAAGTATACCACATACTAACACCAAATACCCTTACGTTTTTCTAGGAGATGATGCTTTTCAAATGGGTAATAATTTCCTGAAACCATATAATCGTGAACATGCAACTCGAAGCGACCGCATATTTAATTACCGACTCTCTAGTGCCCGGAGAGTTGTAGAGAATGCATTTCGTATACTTGTAACAAAGATTTGGAATATTTCAAAAACCCATAAAATTGTCCCCGGAGAAAGTCGCGACTATTACAATAGCTTGTTGCTATTTACATAATTTTTTAATGCGAAAAGGATCTGTTGATTATTATAAAAATACTTTAATATCTGAGAATATAACCACTGGGCAATGTGACACAGGATGTGACAACGGAATTTACACCTTAAACACGGATTATTTAGAAACCCTACTAACAGAGCAAAGGAAATCAGAGATCTCTATCGAAATTATTTTAATCAAGAAGGATAAGTAGATTGGCAACACACTGTTATATAGATATTATATTATACTTTATTTTGAGGATTATTTCAACTATTTTTGTCGCATTATTATATATAATAATAGATATAATCGGTGCTTGTCAGATATAACACCCTTCGAATTTGGCATTTATTTATATATCAGTCGAAAGCATACACTTAAATAAGAATTTTAAGCAAAAAAAAATTGCGGATGAACCACAATTTATTGAAAAATAAATAAATTAAAAGTGAATTTTTACGTTATGGTGAAGTTGTATAAGCGTGTAATTATTGTAATGTATGACGATTATATACATTTTTTTATTAATATAAAGGTCAGAATTAATCATTGAGAAGCATTAGTAAGTCATAAATCAAAAATAGAGTTGGTGATATCTTTTGTAATATTTGCCTGATCGATTTACTCTTTCGATTCAAACTTGCCGCCGGAGCCGTCTGTCACCAATTGTTGTTAAGGATGTAAGCTGCGTAAGCATTGTTGCCAAAGTTATTTCTTGTTTGTATGATACATAATACCGTATGATCGAAAAAAAAAACGGCGTCCAGTTGGCTTTGAAATGACGATCGATGACATTCCCCATATAATTTTACATATAAAATGACAGTGATGTTCATTTCATAGCCATGGCTGACGCCGTTTTTTTTTCGATCATACGGTACGTTACATGATACAAAAAAAGAGTTGAAACCGAAAGAGTTTTGAATGCGTTGGTTTCAACCTTTTCGTGAGAGTGTAAATCTTTTATTTTGTTTTTTATTTTAATACGAATCTGATTGCTTTCGCTTGATTTTACGTGCCGGGCGCCGGATGAACAAATCCTTATACAGTAGCGCTGTCACGAGAAGAACAGATTATAAGTTATTTTAAAATCAAGACATTGAAAGCACTCAGATTCGTATTAAAATATAAAAAAAACAACAGATTAACCCCCAAAGAAGTTGAAACCAACGCAATCAAAACTCTTTCGTGCAACTTTGTAGTTATCAATAGTCAGATATCGTAGGCAAAATATCAGCTATGGGTAAGAGCAGTTCCTCAGGCGATCGCCTTTTCTTGATTTTAAAATAATTTATAATCTGTTCTTAACGCGAGCTTTCTTCCGACCAGTACACGTGTTTTTTTAATGAACCTTTCAAGAAATGAATGAATCTGGCAACGCCGACAAAATTT